CCCCCCCAACTGCTAACGTCAAGGACCTGTGGGTTAAATCCGTGTGCCTGGCAGGTTATGTGGCGTTAGGAGGCCACTGAGCCCTCATTGTCTGTCTCACCCTGTGCCAACTAAGGCCAAGGGACGGGATGCTGTGAGCACTAAATATGGAAGCATGAAGGGAACAATCTGCAAGCCCAAAGCCTGGGGCGTCCCCTCTATCAGCCTCGCCTCCCCCCCAGTTCGTCTCCACATCCCCCTGGTGACCCCCGCAGTGTAGGTCACCTCCCTGCCACTGAAGAGAGGACTTAGCTTGGCTCGTGGTGTGGGAAGACATGAGAACAGGAGCTGCCAGGACTGGCTGTGGCCTGGGGAATCCTGCTCACCTCTGGGCAGCCCTCTAGTTTGCTCAGGACTTTTGTTTTGTTTCTGTTTATCTTAACTGTCGGGGTGTGCGCTCGCGTTTGTCCATGGCTGCTCATTGGCTCAAGCAAATTAGTGGGGAAGGAGGTTGCTTTTGTGCCTTTGTTAGCACTCGGGCGTATCACACAGGTGCATTCTGAGTGCTCTAGCATGTTCCGCTGTTTTGCCTGTGTGTGTCTCCGCTACCGGTGTCACACAGTCTTCCTTAGTGTAAACCGTTCTGTTGGGAAGGGTTGTTTTTACTCTTTTCCAACCTCCCTCCCACTTTCTGACTTTTACTTTTCCATACAGATGTTAGAGTACATTGGTCTACGTTTATAAAGATTATTGGCAGAATCTTTTAACAATTATTTGTGTATTTATTGTATGTGTGTGTGCAAACATGTGTACACGTGTGTACGTGCCCCAGAATGCATGTGGAGCTAACAGAACAACTGTCAGGAGTTGCCCCGATTTGAGACTGGGTCTCCCTTGTCTTTCTTTCTGCTGCTGGGCTGTGTATTCCAAGCTCCCGGGCTCATACCTCTGTCTTCCTGTCTCCACCTCCTATTTTCCTGAGGAATCCTACAATTACACGTGTGACCCACTGACATGTGACCCACTGACATGTGACCCACTGACATGTGCACTGCTGACTTGTGCACCGCTGACACGTGACCTGCTGACATGTGACCCATTGACATGGGCACTGCTGACATGGGCACCACTGACATGTGACCTGCTGGCATAGGTACTACTGACATGAGACCCGCTGACATGTGACCCACTGACATGGGCACCGCTGACATGGGCATCGCTGACATGTGTACTGCTGACATGTGCTCTGCTGACATGTGCTCTGCTGACATGTGCTCTGCTGACATGTGCACTGCTGACATGTGCACTGCTGACAAGTGCACTGCTGATATGTGTACTGCTGACATGTGCTCTGCTGACATGTGCACTTCTGACATGTGCACTGCTGACATGTGCACTGCTGACACGTGACCTGCTGACATGTGCTCTGCTGACATGTGCATTGCTGGCATATGTACTGCTGACATGTGCACTGCTGACATGTACACCGCTGACACGTGACCTGCTGACATGTGACCCATTGACATGGGCGCTGCTGACATGTGACCCACTGACACGTGACCTGCTGATATGTGACCCACTGACATGAATGAAATTTAAGAACAGACCTCCTTGTTTTGTTTTTGGTCCTAACAGAAAGTCTCGTGTGGTTCAGGTTAAATGTGATGTTGGCTGTGGACTTCCTGGGACGACCCTTGCGAAGTTGAGAAGGTTCCCTTCTATTTTCAGTCATGAAAATGCATGTAGAATTTTCCAAATGAATTTTGGATATCAATTCACTTCCCTGTCTATTGAGACAGCGGAGTCCACTGACTGACACATGATGCTGGGCCACCTTGGCCTTGCTGGGAAACCTGCTCAGTTGCTTTCATACATTGCTGGCTTGGATGTGTGTATGTGTGTGTGTGTGTGTGTGTGTGTGTGTGTGTAGTGTGTGTGTGTATAGTGTGTGTGTGTAGCGTGTGTGTGTGTGTGGTGTGTGTGTGGTGTGTGTGGTGTGTGTGTGTGTGGTGTGTGTGTGGTGTGTGTATGTGTAGTGTGTGTGTGTAGTGTGTGTGTGTGGTGTGTGTGTAGTGTGTGTGTGTAGTGTGTGTGTAGTGTATGTGTGTGGTGTGTGTGTAGTGTGTGTGTGTGTAGTGTGTGTGTAGTATGTGTGTAGTGTGTGTGTTGTGTGTGTGTGTGTATGGTGTGTGTGTGTGTGGTGTGTGTGTGTAGTGTGTGTGTGTGTGTGTGTGTAGTGTGTGTGTGTTAACATTTTTGAGTGTAACAGTGAAGCTGTTTCCTTGAAGTCTGACGTGGCCTATCATGACACCGAGTTCCTGCTACAGCCTGCAGAGGCCCTTGGTCTGGGACACACATCAGATACACACCGAGCGTTCCTGAGATCTGCGTTTGCAGTAGTGGAGACGGGGCTCAATGATGTGAGGAGGAGTCTCTCCTCTTCCACCTTCTGCAGTGTGTAACATCTTGTGTCAGAATTTCCTTCAGGACTAGGCACATGTGTTCTACGAAGCCACCTGGGTTGGAGGCCTCCACTTGTCAGTTTCTTTAATTATGATCACCAAGCCTGTGTTTCTCATCTTGGGTGAATTTTGAAAGTTGTGGATCTCGAGGGATCGTCCACTTCCCCCAGGTCGCCACATTCGAACAAGTTGGGCTCTGCTCTTGTTGCTTTAGGTGTTTCTGTGCCTTTTGTTCCCAGCCCCAGCCCTAGGGTGCCAGCAGTGTTCACGTGAGTCTCGGTGTGGTCCACGGAGCCTAATGCTCTTCCCGCCTCCATCCCTCATCCCTCACTCACTGCATCCTGCTTTCTTTCGTATGTTCCTGGTGGCTGTACCTCAGCCTATGCGATGGGTTCCAGCCATCTCACTTACCGACTTTCACTGAGAGGTGACAGACACCATGTTCACAGTAGAAACAGCTAGCACAAAGGCTCCTGGCCACGTGAGGCTGACAAGCCCAGAGGGCGGACTCTAGCCTGGAGTCGGACACTAAGGACAAGCTGTCATGAGGTGACAGAGGCGGAGAGGCCAGGGCGTGGCTTCAAGGTTTAACGAAAAAGGCCCAGTGGAGGACATTTGCAAGAAGACCTCTTTTGTTTTCTTCCAAGAGCCTCCTCTCTCGACTTACGGAATGGAGAAAACGGTGCCAACAGCGTGAAGTGGTCCCGAGACTGCCCCACGGACAGGGGGAGGTGAGTGCGTGCTAACCAACCTCACCTTTGGTGACCTCTGTCCTGTTGGCCCTTCCGAACAACTTTAGCCCTAGCCAAGGGTCCAGGTCTCAGTGAGGAATCACAGTAGGTAGATAAACGGCTTCCTGTCTCAGGCCTGGGGGCTGGCATTTTCCCTCCAGCTTGGGCATTTCCCCTTCCCATCCTTCCTTCCTCCTTAGCTTCACTCTTTACCATTTCTAGGTCTGTTTTCTTCTTTTTGGATCACCTTCCTCCCATCTAGTAGTCAATGCTTTGGGATGAAATTGGATATAGCTTTTGTTACTGTTCATAGTTTCTTAAGCAATTTCTGGCATGGAGTGTATGTTTGCATATAGGTTTAGCATGCTTGAAGTCCTGGGTTTGACTCTTAGCACTGAAGGAGGGAAAAAAACCTAGATAAATGTACATATTTCCCCACACTTTTTAAAGAGTGGTACAATTCATAACAGTATTTTGGTGTTTTTAAAATACTACACAGCACACTGGATGCTCCTTTTAGCTGTTATTAAAAAGACGTGTTTGTTCTGTGTCAGGTTGGTGCAGGGCTCTTGGTGTTGTCCTTTGAGAGGAAGGCTGAACAACCTAAGTAGTGACATCACATCTGCAGGAATGTGGCCCAGGAAGGCCAGGGTGGGATGTCCACCCATCACAGGCACCATAAACCAAAATGAGAGAGTAGGTATTACCACTTAACCGTCATGGAATATAGGACAGTGTTCAGTTCCTGCACGCAGCATCCTTGCCCGTCTGTACCAGAGTGATACAAAGGGGTTTTTGTATCTCCATGCTTGAGAAATTCAAGTGCTAGCTAGCTACAAGGTGCATAGCTAAAGTGAGCGGAAGAGATGTGTTCACGGCAAAATGCATCTTACAGAGCAAGATTATGTCTAAGACAAGGACAGATTCCCAGAGCAAGAGATTTCTCAGTCAGTTGGATCAGATGTATTCCACCTCCCTGGCTAACATGGAATTCTCCAGAAGGTAAGCCCCGCCCCCTACAGGCACCATCTTGGCAGCTCACTCTGAGGCCAAACTCAAAATCACTCTGCCTTGTCTTCCCAAAGGCTGGGTTTATGGTGTGAACCGCCATACTCACAGTTTATTTTCCTCTTCCCTTCCCTCTCCTCCCCTTCCCTTCTCTTAGGGACTTCCCTCCCTCCCTCCCTTCTTTTCTTACCCTCCCCGCAGCCTGGCTAAGCTAGGCCCACTGAGCTAGGGCCAGCCCTGGGTGTCTCCTTCTTATTTCTCTTCACACAGACACCCACGAATTGTTGCTACCAAACAGCCTTCAGGCAGCCTCCTAGACAAGGGAGAGCATAGAACCTAGTCATGAGGGGAGGAACTGGTGTAGTCTCAGATGGGATGGCGGTTCTGCCACCCTGTGAGGCTGTGAAAGAATGTGAAAGGGGGCAGAGGCGAGGGCGGGGATTCAGTACCTGCCCAGGATTGGGGCCACTGAAGCTCCAGCAATGAGTAGAATGTTAGCGGACTTCCCTGGGCGCCACCATGGCCTCAGAGTGTGCCATTCCCTAGTGACCACACTGCTTAGTGGGGTGGGGATGTGTAAGATCAAAATGGACATAATTTGGAAGTTGACAGATAAGGCAGACGTGTGTGTTTGTGTGTGTGTGTGTGTGCACATGCATGCGTGCGTGTGTGTGCATGTGTGTGTATATGTACGTATGTATGCTTGTGTGCATGTGTATGTGTGTGCGTATGTGTGTATGTGTGTGTGTATGGATGGATGTATGTATACTGTTGTAATGATGGCAAAGACAGTCTCTGCATGTATTGTATGTACTTTTCTGCAACAGCATGGAGATGTAGGCATTGCCCTCACGCCTCCTCACCCCCAAAACTGATCAAGGACACAGTGACCCCCAGTATATGGGTCTAGGACCTGGCTTGAGGTTGCCACCTGGGAGTTGAACTTGGGCCATCTGACTCTGGCCTGCCCTATGAGCTCAAGGTGGATAAAGCAGGAGGCAGAGGGTCCCAGACTATGCTGCTGTCCTAACAGATAGGGAGTTGGGTCCTAGAGAGCTGAGAAACCAGCCAGGCTCTCCACTGAGAGTCCACCCACGAGAGGCCTTCAGAAACTGGGACAGATGGAGACAGTGATCGTTCTCAAGGTATTCAAAAGATGCATTCAGTCTGTCAAAACATCCCAAAGCCACAACACGGGAGGAGGTTCTACAGGAGACCAAGTTCTTTTCCGGCAGAGGCTTGTGTGGGTGGAGGCATCCCTCTGCCCCCACCTCTGGGAACTCTATTCCTCCCACCACTGGGGTGTTTCCCATGAAACATTTAACAGAACATACACCTGGGAGAACTCTGGCGGCAAAGAAGCCGCTTGTTGGTCATTTGCGGGGTGGTGGGTGGTGTCAGGGGAGTGTTTCCCTCATTTAGGGACCAATTCTGGCCCGCTGTTAGCATCTGAATCGGGCAGCCCAGTTGTTTTGATTGAATAGAGAGGGCAAGCCTTTGTTGTTGCAATTTAAGGAGTAAGGGAGTAAGTTGTTCTCTGGTCCCCTTTAATCAGCTGGAAGGGGGAAATGGCAATGGCTGCCCGTCTGGGCTGAGGATGTAACAAGGCCCACCTCTAAAGCTCCTTCCGTGGGAGCCCCAGACCCGCAGCGCTGGGCATCACGGCCCTGCCCACTGCTGTCCTTTCCCGCAGAATTTCTTTCAGCCCCTTCAGAACATTCTCTTTGTCTGGATGAAGCCAGTTCATGTAATGCTAGAAACACAGCAGGTCCAGGTGTAGAGCCAACCTACTGACGCTCATTCCCACATACACGGGCCAAGGACAGGCGGTCACTTCGGGGACCATGGCCAAATAACTTCACGCTCACTGCGCAGTGGGTGAAAGGCCCCTTCAAGGGTGCTGAGCTGTATGTACAGCTTTTTGCAGCATTTAATTTACACGTCCTGGAAAGGGTAAATTACTTTTATTTCTTTAGTAAGTAGCAAAAGCTTCAAGTTTTAGGGTAAAAAGACAGAAGGCTAGGTTTTCAAAAATCCTCCATTTTCTTCCTTTTATCTGAAACATTTCTGAGACAGGGTTTCTCTGTGGATTCCTGTCTACTCACTCTGTAGACCAGGCTGTCCCGGAACGCAGAGACCCGCCTGCCTCTGGCTCCAGCGTGCTGGGATTAAAGGTGTGTACCTACACTGAACACACAGTGGCATAAAGACCGGTGGTTCCTGAAAATGGAGGTGACTCGGGGTACCCCGCTGAGGGAAAACCTTGTAGGAAGCTGCTGTCTGTGGCACTCACAGCTTACTTTGCAGATCTGTCCTGTGCCTAGGCCTGCGTCCAGGAAATCACCCTGCTCTTCCTGCTCCCTGGTCCACTGCCCCGGAAACGGGAGATGGACACCCCTCTCTAGGAGGCCTTGTGTGAGAGCCTCCTCTCACCCACCCCTGGCTCACACAGAGCTCGCCACCCTTCCTTGAGCAGCGTTCTCCAGCTGTTGGAGTTCCCTCAGTGACTCAAAGGAACCACCCAGGGTCCTAATTAACGAGCATCCTCCCACAGGCCCAGCTTCTCCAGGGAAAGCAGTTTGTCAAACAGCTGTTTGGGCTGATAAAAGACTGTTTGCTGTGTCCTGCCTACAAAGACAAACCTCACCTGCCCTGTCGTGCAGCAGAATCCAGCCCAGACGGGCTTGCCTTTGCTCCCTGGTGACCCCCAGCTGTTGTGTGAGCTCAGCTGAGTCCCTTGGGCATGGGTGGCCCACTTCTTTGCCTCAGACATTCTGGGCATGCCAGGAGTAGCACAGGAGGCAATGAAAAGCATCCACAGGGCCTTGTTTATTACCTCTGTCCTCACTCAAGGAACACAGTGGTTGTTTATTGGTTCTAGAGCCTATGGCCTCAAACACAGCCCCAGGGCCTGGCAGAGGGACAGACAGGCCACTAAACCCAGCACTCTAGAGGCAGAAACAGGCAGATCTCTGTGAGTTTGAGGCCAGCCTGGTCTACACAGCTAGTCCCAGGCCAGCTTATAAGGCCTGTTGTGAGAACCAATAAGAGCCCCCAGGGAGACTGTTAATTGAGGAATGTTCCTGAGGCTACATAATGATGTCATTTATACTTTAACCTGGGACAGGGCCACAGTTTATTCACAGTCTACTGTTTCGGGGGGTTAGCTGAAGATATTAAGGAAATTCCCTACCATGCATATATGTACACACATGTCTTGTGTTCGCGCGCACACACACACACACACACAAACACACACTCTCATACACACACATACACACAGGCATACACATGCATACATTCATGCACACACACATACACACAGTTATACACACACACTCATACACACATATATCCACACATGCACACACACTCATACATGCACACATATACACACATGCACACACTCACACACATATGCATACACACATGTGCACACAGACACGCAGTGTCTCAAGCACCTGTGCTCAGTACACAGGTGAGGTCCATTGAGAGCCCTGTGACCTTCATGACGAGAAGTGTATGCAGGGCACACTTAAGTGTGAACATCTTCATGAGGGCCAACAGCCCTCCTAACTCACTCAAGGCTTGGAGAAGCTAGTAGGGCTCATTAAAGAAGACAACGAGCCAGCCTTGAGAGGGCACTGTCCCATAAGCCTGTTCCAGGAGGCTTCCCTCCAGCACAGTGTGCTCCTTGAGCTGCAGACTCTCTGGGAGCAGGCCCATTTCTAGGCCAAACTTTATTTTGAACACGTGGTAAGAGCCTGCTCTTAGAGTCATGCCACTTGTCTGGCCTAACCGCACTGTGTGAGAGCAGTCCTGTCCCTGTGGCCTCCTGCAGGATGACCCAGCTGAGGGTGTCCAGCGTGAGGACACGGAGGCCTGTGGCTGCAGCCTTGTGTACTCAAAGGGTGCCGGGCCTGACAGCTTCTTCTGTGTTTGCTTTTCTCTGTTTGGTGCCATCCGGGAAGACTGCTGGAGAGAGAAGACCGCTTTGCAGACCTGCTGCCCGAGCACAGGGCTAGAGTTCTGGTCAGTGTCTTGTGGGCCCAGAGACAGCACCAAAGGCATTTTGTCTTGCTGGGACGTAGACTTGGGAGGTGCAGAGGGACCTGGGAAGGGATGTGCACCATCTCCTGGCTGTAAGATCCAGTCCTTTCTCATTGAACTGGGGTTCAAATTAGGACCTTAGGTGGTGGTGGCCAGGGACAGAGAAGTACGTTTTGGTTGCTGTGCAGTAAAGTCTTCAGTCTGGGGATGGAGAGATAGCTGAGCTAGCGGAGTGTTTGCCTAGCATACAGGAGACCTTGGGCTCAAACCCCAGCATCACATAAACAGGCTGTGGTGGCACATACCTGTAATCTTAGCACTTGAGAGGTAGAGGCAGGAAAATTGAGAGTTCGGAGTCATCCCTTGCTAGGCAGTGAGTTTGAGGCCAGCCTGGGCTACCTGAGGACTCTGTCTCAAATAAAAATTACTGTCTAACTTAAAAACAGGACAAAGCCCAAACCACCCCACCTTCCTCTGCTCCTTCCCTTGTGACACTGGATATGAGGCAGTGACCAGGAGGAACGGTGACAGAGCAGGCCTGCAGGGGGACCCCAGCGGTAGTTCCGGGTGACAAGGGAGAATTTTCTAAGGTGACACAGTTTGGGCATTGGCATTTAAATTTAAAATATGAGTAGACACCTTCATGCTCATTGCTCTCCACCTCCCGTTTCACAAAATGACAATGTTCCTTTCTTCCCGAGCTGGATTACCTGGTCTCAAGCAGGCACACGCAGGCAGATGCTCCACCCGGAGAAATGGGGGTGGAGGACCCCCTGGTCCCTGGCCAGCAGCTTCAAGCACCACCTGCCCTCCGATTCCTCAAGTGCCACAGCCCAGGAAGTCAACAGAGAAGTTCCCTCTTGAAGACAGGAAGACACCAAGTGACCCTGTGTGGCATGTGAGTTATCAGTCACCAGGACAGGGCCAGTGAGATGGCTCAGCGGGCAGAGAGGGGCAGAGAGGGGCTGCCAAGCTTGACGGCCTGAGATCTCTGGGGCCTACACAGTGGAAGAAGAGAACCAGGTCCTGCATGTTTCCCTCTGACTTCCACATGTATGTGTGCACACATGCACGCACACACGCACATACATGCATGTACACCCACCAAATAAGTGTGAGAAAATAGTAGATTAGAAGCAACTCGCCCAAAGCAAACAAGTAAACAACAGAACTATACCGCGGCATTAGAAGAATTTGGCGGTGGAAGGGTGAAAACAGAGAAGTAATTTGGATTTCACCCACAGGACCACCCTCTGGGTCTCGGCCAATCCCAGACCACTTTCTTCACAGTCCTTCCTAGGGCCCCTGAGTGGAGCAGGTGTCTACCTCTCCATCCTCCCCCGAGTCAGGGGGTGCGAGTTTCTGTCTTGTGCCTGCTCCCCACTGTGAGACTCAGTGGCATGGCGGGTACTGCGTATTGACACAGGTGGACCCAGCTTAACTCCCTCCACTGACCTCAGTGGAGCTCAGAGTGCTTCATCATCTTGTTCCCTGTACACGATGACATCTGCTTCTTGGGCTACTGGTGGACTCAGCTGAGTGATGTGAGCAAGGTATTCTCCGTCACGTTTGTCTGGGGCACCAACTCTTGGAACGTCCCGTCCATTTATGCATCAGTCCAGCCCATACCCACTTTCTCACTCCCCTGACAGTAATTTCATAAGAGGGAAATGGAGGGCTGCTGTCAGCCGGTCTTCGATGGTCACGCTGGGTTAGATCTTCCTAAGTGTGGACACTTGCGTAAGACGGCAAATTCACTGAGTGAACGCTGTCTGACCAAATGCTTCTCGTGTTGGTGAGCCTGCCTCTGACAGGAAGTCCAGTCTCCGCCCAGCCCCCGATGCCCTGTGAGGTTGTGGACAGCCACTTTTGATGGCACTCCAGCGTGGCGAGGCTCAGTAAAGCCTTTCTCCAGCGCATTCCCTTCAGGCATCTGCCTCTTGGTAACAGATGTCCGCTTTTCTGTTTGGAATTCTCCTAGATTGAGTGCAATGAAGCGAGTTGACGTTTTCAGCAAAGCACCTTGTATTCTAGAATGAAGCTGTCGTTCACCCTCCCATCCTCACGAAGCAGCCTGCCAGGGCTGGAGAGATGGTTCACTCCCAAGACTCACAGTTATCCGTAACCCCTGTTCGGGAGGGCCAGTGTCCTCCGAGGACGCTAAGCACGCACATGACGGACACACATTGCAAACAAAACATTCATATACATATAATAAATCTAAAAAAAAATCAATGGAGCTTCCTGGCTTTATTATTTCAGACAGCCCAGGAGAGCCTTGGATGCTGCCAAGACCCTGGTACAACGTAAGTGCTGATGGGTGAGGCCAGTGCTCTTGTCCAGTCTGGAGCCACCCTGATTCCTGTCCTCCGAAGTGATACAGACACCACTCTCGTGGGCTCCTTTGCAGCGCCATGGCTGAGGAAAGGCGGGACCAGAGTCATCTGATTCAGCTGCCTGGATTTGCTAATGAGTCATCCTCAAGTAACAGGCTCTGGAAGATCCCCAGACACCACCTGTACAAAGTGACATTAAGTTTAAGCCAACACAGATGTCAGGGAAAATTCTTCTCTAATTTCTATGCATTTTCATGTAAATTTCAGGATACTTGATATTTTCACACACACACACACACACACACACACACACACCCCACACACAGACGTTCATGCAAATACACACACAGTCATGAAGAGATCCAGACATAGATATATAAGACACACACAGACACACATGCGCACACCAGACACACATACACACATGAACAGACATTCACACAGACATACACATGCAGATACACACACACAGTCATGAAGAGACCCAGACACAAACGCATGAGACGAACATAGACACATATGCAGACACATATACAGATACACACACACACATCAACAAACATATATAAGACACATACACACAGACATACACTGACTGCTCTTTCAGAGGACCTGGGTTCAATCCCCAGCAACCACATGGTGGCTCATAACCAGCTATAATGGGATCTGGTGCCCTCTTCTGGCCTGCAGGTATACCTGCAGGCAGAACACACACCTAACATAACAAACAAATAAATAAATGTTACATAGAGAAACACTGTCTTGAAAAACAACAAAAGCATTTTAAATTATATTGAGGAAGTCTATGATCCAAAAAAAGTCAATGTCATGGAGAAGAATGAAGTGGAAAAGAAAACCCGGTTGTTTTGCAGGAGAAAGTCCTGTACTGTGTCCACACCATTGGATCTCATGCACAGAAGCAGTCTGAATGCCCTCTGTAAGAGTGTCTCCTCTCTGTCCTTTAGGAGCAAGCTTTCAGATCAAGTGAGGGGCAAGCTTTCTCCTGCTGGGATAACCGCAGACCCCAGGCCGACAGCACCCCTGACCCTGGAACACGTGATCCAGGCCCATCCTGTAGTGGTAGGCTCCTGTTTGCTCTCTGCCAGTGCGGGTGGAGGCTGTGGCTCTCCAGGAGATCAAAGGTGGAGGAGGACTGGGAGGCGGGGTAGAGCAGGAGGCGGCAAGTGTGAGATTTCCGAGGATTTCCGGGCTGGAGACTAGATGGGCCATGGAAGATGTCAGGGTAAGGGCGGGCACTGGAGGGGAGGAAGAGTTTTCTAACTCCTTGGAGTTGGGGCTAAGACAGTCAGTGCCTGGCATAGCACTCAGAGTGTATCTATTTTATGAACACTGAAAGAGGCCATGCCAGTATGTGTTATTTTTCGTCTTTCATTCGTTGTAGGAGGCTAAGACAGCACGTCGATACTGGGTGAACTATGTGGACGAAGAATAAGATTTTATACGGTTACTAGATGTAAAGAAGATCCAAACAGGAAATGATATCTTTCTTCCCCTTTGGTTCAACATGACGATAAGCAGCGAGGCTGACATCCAGTAAAGATGTAAATTCCTGATCTGAGACACCTGGCCTGGATCATTCTTTCCTTATAAAGGTGACATCACCATGCAGAGCCCAGAGCCATGAATTCAGATGATGGGGATGGCCAAGCACGGACAGGACAGTAGTCACTGACAGCCTGCTGAGCAGACTTAGGGGTGGGACTTAAACTGGGGGCTCTTCAGTTCCACTGTCTCAGCGTCCTTCTGCCTGCTGCTGTTTTCGCAGTGCCTTGAGGAAAATATGCCTGTTTTCTTTCTTAAAAATAAGTTTTTCTTAAAAACTTTTAAATTATGAGTGAGCATAAGGAGACAGGAAAATGGATCAAGGGTGTTTGATGGATGAAATTAGCTTCATAAGGTAGAAAAATATAATTAACAGAGGTAGTATCCAACACGTGGTTGGGTTAGGCACACCTGAAGACAGCATGCAGGCACTGGATAGGCCAAAGACTTGGTCTGATGCTTAGCACTGGCAGACAGGCAGTTGGCCTTCCTAGGCCAATGGGGTTAATCCCAGCAATGATGGAGAAGTGGAGCAACGCACAGAACCAGAAAAGAAAGGTATTCTAGAACTGGTGAAAAATCTCAACCTTTAGATTTAGGGAATCCAAAGAATAACAAACAGTAGTGAAAAAAAAATGGCACCAGCTGGGAATGTGGCTCAGTGGGAGAGGGCTTGACTTGCATTCTCAAGTTCCTGGGTTCAATCCCCAGCACTTCAAGAATAAGATAATAATAATAATAATAATAATATAATCAACAAAATTAAAAACAAATTAATAATAATAATAGGGGATGTAGAGATGGCTTAGCGTTTCAGAGCACTTCTGTTCTAGCAGAAGATCTGGGCTCAGTTCCCAGAACTCACACGGTGGTTCACAGTTGTCTATGACTCTGGCAGTGTCAGGGGACCCGAGGCCCACTTCTGGATTCTGCGGGCACTGTACACAGACGCACATGCAGGCAAAACACCCACTCACGTAAAAATATGAAAAGAAGATTTTAAAAAGACTAGCTAAAAAAAAAGTTCAGCCAGGCATAAGATGCACACCTTTAATCCCTACACTCACACTTGGGAGGCAGAGGCAAAAGGATCTTTGTGAGTTTGAGATGAGCCTGGTCTAAGTTCAGAATGGCAGTGGAGATCCTTAAAGGAGCCAAAGAAAGAGGCCGATCTCACCAAGGAATAGCATCCAAAGGCAAGCAGCTCCCTAGTGGGAATGGCAGGTAGAATCTTAGAGAATCTTTTTTTTTTTTAAACTCATTTTTTATTGAGCTCTATATTTTTTCTCTGCTCCCTTCCCTGCTTTCCCCCTTCCCTTCAACCCTCTCCCATGGTCCCCACGCTTCCAATTCACTCAGGAGATCTTGTCCTTTTCTACTTCCCATGTAGATTAGATCCATGTATGTCTCTCTTAGGGTCCTCATTGTTGTCTAAGTTCTCTGGGATTGTGATTTATAGGCTGGGTTTCTTTGCTTTATTTCTAAAAGCCACTTATGAATGACTACATATGGTATTTGTCTTTCTGGGTCTAGGTTACCTCATTCAAAATGATGCTTTCTAGCTCCATCCATTTGCCTCCAAATTTCAAGACGTCATTATTTTTTTCTGCTGTGTAGTACTCCATTGTGTAAATGTACCACATTTTCCTTATCCATTCTTTGGTTGAGAGGCATTTAGGTTGTTCCCAGGTTCTGGCTATGACAAACAATGCTGCTATGAACTTAGTTGAGCACATGTCCTTGTGGTATGATTGAGTATCCTTTGAGTATATACCCAAAAGTGGTATTTCTGGGTCTTGAGGAAGGTTGTTTCCTAATTTTCTGAGAAATCGCCATACTGACATCCAAAGTGGCTGTACCAGTTTGCACTCCCACTAGCAATGCAGAAGTGTTCTCTTTACCCTACAAACTCCAGCACAAGTTGTCATCAGTGTCATTCTTACAGGTGGAAGGTGGAATCTCAGAGTTGTGTTGATTTGCATTTCTTTGATGGCTAAGGATGTTGAGCATTTCCTTAAGTTTCTTTCAGCCATTTTAGATTGCTCTGTTGAGAGTTCTCTGTTTAGGTCTGTACTCCATTTTTTTTATTAGATTATTTGTTCTTTTGATGACCAATTTCTCGAGTTCTTTGTATGTTTTGGAGATCAGCCCTCTGTCTGATGAAGGGCAGGTGAAGATCTGTAGTTTTGTCTTATTGACTGTGTCCTTTGCTTTACAGAAGCTTTTCGGTTCAGGAGGTCCCATTTATTAATTGTTTCTTAGAGAATTTTTTTTTTAACAAGAAGTAGAGTCAGGTGGTGGTGGGGCACACCGTCAGTCCCAGCACTTGGGAGGCAGAGGCAGGAGGATCTCTGTGAGTTCAAGGCCAGCCTGACCTACAAAGTGTTCCAGGACAACTTGGGCTACACAGAGAAACCCTGTCTCGAAAAACAAACAACAAGTAATTAACGATTAGCTAAGGCAAGTCCACCACTTATAAACCTCCCTCAAAGAAAGTAAGAAAATGCTGAGCACATTGGTTCCACTGGCGAATTCTGCGGGTGTGTAAGAAGGAAACAGCGTAGAATGAAACCCGCATGTTCTTCTCGGTAACTACTTTTCCCAAAAAAAAAAAAAAAACCAATATCAAATTGTAAAAAGAAGGGGGACTCCTCGAGCTAATCAAATGTTTAACCACACACGTGTGTGCAATGGTGTGCGTAACAGCGAGGGAGTGCAGCCTTGCCTTTGAGGTTGGAACAGCAGAAGGACCCCATCATTTCCACTCTGGTGTGAAACTATACCAGAAACTTGACCCACACAAGGGTGAAAAATGTATATGCTGTCATCTTCTATAAGTTTTCACTTTCATTTTATTTCATGTGTATAGGTTTTTGTGTACACATGCCTACAGTGCCCCAGGAGGCCAGAAGGGAGTGTTGGATTCCCTGGAGTCCAACAGAGGCTCGTGAGTGTTCTTCCCCTCTGAGCCATTTCCCCAGCCCCATATTATATGGTTTAAATACTACAAGGAAATTTAGTTCTGTTTTATTTATTTGGTTTTTGTTTCAGATTTTTGAGATCCCACTGCCTCTGCCTCCTGAGTGCTGGGATTAAAGGTGTGCGCTGCACACTCAGCTAATTTAGCTGTGTTTAATTATGCAAACATTTCTCCTCTGAGTAAACAGAATTTTAAAAGACGATTTAACTGTTAAGTGTGTGTGTGCGTGTGTGTGTGATTGGCCAGATGTGTCCATTCTCCTAGTGCTGGAATTACAATTGGTTGTGAACTGGGGACTGTGTGGGTGTTGGGAACATAGTTGGGTCCTCTGCAAGAGCACCGAGCCACTGAGCCATCTCTCCAGTCCAGCAAATAGAATCGGTAAAGATACTTAAATAAGATGATCATGGAGTTCCTGCTTTCCACAGGTGACAAATATGTTAAATATAGTTACCATGTCATTAATGCTAAGAATATTCATGAGATGTGTGTGTGTGTGGGGGGGATGCATATATCTCAGCTTTTAGGGTAGCTGAGATGGGAGGATCTTTTGAGCCCATGAGTTCAAGACCAGTCCGGTCAACTTAGTGACACTAAGGGAAAGAAAGACGGAAGGAAGGAACCATGACAGAGCGGCAGGAGGAAGGAGCAATGGAGGGATGGAAGGAAAGGAAGGCAGGCTGCCAGAGCGCAAGAAAAAGAAGTGGTCTAAGTACGCGCTATCCACTAGCACTATCCTAAACCCCGAGATGTGTGCGCACAGCACGGTCTCGGGAGGCTGAAGACAAGCTGGACCTCCTTATGTATGCCAAGGGCCCCTTAGCTGAAATGTTTGTGACCAGGAGTGTTTAAGACTTCAGAGTCTTTCAGATTTCTCAGTATTTGTACAGACTTTAATGTTTAAATATCTCTCAAGCCCCAACATCTGTCTCTTAAATACCTTGTAACCGGGGCTGGAGCCAGGTAGTAAGACTGTCTCAGTGATTAAGAGCATTTATTTCTGTTGACAAGGACACAGGATGAATTCCCAGCACCCACATGATGGCTCACAACCATCCATGACATCCGTTCCAGGGGGTCTGATGCCCTTTTCTGACCTCTGTGGGCAGTGCACATGTGATATGCTTACATACATGCAGACAGAGTACTCAAACACTAAATAAAAATATCTAAAAACAACAGAAAACTCACCTTCCAACCCAGTCAGAGATGCTGAGTGGCAGCCACACACAGGACTGGTAGCTGGACGGGAGAGCAACGCTGATCCTGCCCTGACTTCAGTGGGCTTGCCTAACCCTGCTTCGGAAGAACTCTGGGTCCCTAGTGGTGCACTGTTGTGATTTCACTGGGAAGGTGAACCAGTGCCCTCTTTTATCCATTTGTTGTGTGGTCATCAACTCAGGGACCAACTCCCGAAAGGCTTTTAAAACTGTATTAAAGATGCAGCCATCGGGGCTGGACTGGATGGCTCAGAGTTAAGAGCACCACACCGGCTGCTCTTCCAGAGCACTGGCTTTGCGTCCCAGCTCCGACGTGGCAGCGCATTAACTGTCTATAACGTTAGTTTTAGGAGATCCAAAGCCCTTCTCTGGGGCGTGAGTTTGATTTCTGTAGTTCACATGACAGAAGGAGAGAATTGACTCCCACAGATTGTCCTCCCACCTTTTTGTGAGTGCTGCGGAACATGTGTGCCCCCCCACATAAATACATGCTTCCACACACACGTGCATGTAATGTAATATATACGTGTGTGTGTGTGTGTGTGTGTGTGTGTGTGACGGTTGGATTGTGTAACTCTGGCTAGCTGTAATCAGTTATGTACTCCAGACTTAGCCTCCTCTGTACCATCATGACTGGCAATAAAATAAAGTAAAATAAAAAATAAAAAGCATTTAAAAAAATAAAATCTTGGGGTACTGGAGAGATTGCCCCATGATTACGCTCCCAGAGAACCTGTATTGGACATCCAGATTGTTATGGTAGCTCAAAGCCGCCTGTATTTCCAGTTCCAGGGGATCAGTTGACCTTTTC